CAGTGGAGAAAGTTTGAGAACAGCCACAACATGGACACTGGATGTTGATCAATGTATCAACGAAGGTTCCTTGGATGCCACATCAACATTGGAATCCAGTGATGCGCAGTTTTGTGTTGGTCCAAGCAGCTGAGTAGTTTCTCAAGTCTATCTTGCAGCGGTGGTTGATGTGCCCATAAACCCGAACCCTAGGTGGTGAACAGTGTGGTTCCAGCTAAACAACAGGGCATGCAATGAATTTCATGGCATCTCCCTTGCCGTTAAGCAGGAAATCCAATGTGCAGCTCGGAGCAGCATTTGTTCATTACAATTCTGTCTATTCCAAATTAGTACTGGACGTTGAATGTAGATATTGTATTGGTTGGGGCAGTCAGATCCTGATTGGGTGGTTGCTCCGATTCCCAGGCGCTCAGTGGGAGAAGGCCAGCGAGGTGTTCGACCAGATGCAGGTACAGGGCTGCACACCAGACGTGGTCACCTACACAGCACTGATCAGTGCTTATGAGCGGGGTGGTGAATGGCGGCGTGGCCTCCAGGTGAGCATTGTTGTCCAGTCGGTGGTGCTGTCCTTGCTGAAAGTTGTTTCTTGTGGTGGGAAGAATAGGCTCATAGTGGTTTATGTACCATACACCTAAAGGAGGTTGCAGTCTCAGCCAAGAGCTTGCATCGCCAAAAGAATGTTGGGACTTCCTGCTTCGATCTTATTTGCTGTCATATGGAAAGCTCTCGCCAGCAGGTGACTGTCAGGGAGAACACAGTTGGAGATGGGTGCGTGATGCCAACCAATGCATTGAATTGAGCTGTCTGCGAGAATGCAGTCATTTGCATAACACGTGAGGATGATGACGGCCACTGCCGAAACTCGTCAGCTACAGTTGTCAGCATATAATAAATCCACCCTCCCACACCTCAAAGAAAACAAACGAATGAGAGACCTACTATTTGTTCTTTTAAAAGGCTGAGCATACATGCGGATATGAGCCCCTATTACTTTTGCTGGTTAGGTGGCACAATACCCACAACTATTTTGTTGGGACGGGTTGGCACAAGGATTGTTAAATATGATGCAGTGTTCTGGAGTCAGAAATAGATCAGTCAGCTACTACAGCCATCTGCATTGAAGGCCGCAGTAGCAGTTGAAAGAAACAGCCTGCAGGAACGCGCATGTGTATGTTGGTGCAATTCCCGTTGCAAGACTGTTTGTTGTGGGGCTGGAGTGTTTGTGGTGCAATGCAGAATAAGACTCCAGTCAGAATGTGCTGCATCCATTCTATGTTATCTGTACTTGTGTGTTGCCAAGTCCTCACATCAATGCCAGTTACAAAATGTTCACGACCCCCCACAAACTGACAAAGACAAAGTATTTGGATACCAGTGCTCCTCTCCAAAACATGTTAAAGATGAGTGCTGCATCATAAATGTTGAACCTGTCTCACAATGATACAGTCATCTAGCCAAATGTTGATACCACCTTTGCAGCAACTATGCTGCAAACACCATTCCATGCAATTACCACATCGTACACGTGGAACATGCATTATATTTGCCACTAATAGTCTATTTGCTCGTTCCATCACTGCAGCAGTCACTCCCCTAGACCCTGTTCAAGTTAACACTGCATCACAAACATCAAAAGTTCGTGATCACACCATTACCCCACACAAAGGGTGCCAAAATTGACCACCATTGCATTTCTGATCATATGCGATCGCATGGGGAAGGAACAACACACGAGCTGCATGCCTGTGCGCTCGTCATCACCTTTTAATACATAGTTAAAAATGCATAACATCAAAAATGCATAACATGAAGAACAAAAATGCTTGACATATTTACAGAAGGGCATACCTTCAAGTGTGCCTTTGACATGTGCAATCGGCAACACTGGCACATCTTGTTTCCAACAAGCTCACTGTGCGGCAGGTGTTTGAGACGATGCGTGCCCAGGGCTGCCGTCCTGACTCGATTGTCTACAATGCCATCATAGATGCTGTGTGGGAGACAGGTGTGATCTGGGGACAGAAACGCGCCCTGGAGATCTTTCGGCAGGCCCAGACAGAAGGCCACTTCAAGCAGCAGGCCCTGGATGGTGCACACAGGGTGGAGGTCAACCTGCACGCGATGACCGCTGGGGTAGCTGTGCTCAGTCTCTACTGCTGGCTGCTTGAACTCAGGTGAAATAGCAGTGTGTTGTGTTACCAGTCACTCAATTATTACTTCTCTTTTTTTGCTTCATTCTTTTCTTTTAATTTTTTGGCTTTGCTGCTGTGTGCGAGGGAAGTGATTCTGCTGTTTCTATTTCTACTCAAGTTGTCAGCGGTGCTGTTGCACAGTATTGTGCATTCTGTGGCATTTGGCGCCAATTTGTGCTTTCCATTTCTTTTCCGTCCACATTTTTGCATCACTTGCAAGAGATGTGCGGCCCACTGCAGGTTTTCCTCTCAAACACAACTGGGAATCCAGATGGCGCCCCCATCTCGAGATAGGCAATGCATGCCCTGTGCTACCTCACCACAAAATGCAACACCATGGTTGTTTGTTTGCCTTTTGGCCAAACGCTTTGACAGTGCAGTGAAGGACCCAGCAGCCTCTGCTCTGGCTGCCAGGCTGCATCCAAGTTCACAGACTTTGTAAGATAGTTACTGATCTTCCTTCCGGTATTCAATTCCAAGTTGTTTGCATGCTTTTGTGAGGTCAGGTGCCAGCCTTCTTGCAGTGGTCTCTGTGCTTGTTCCATAATTTTTGCCCACTCAATGAAGGGCCAGCAGCCTGGACTGCTGGCTTCCTGACATCGGGTGAGGCTGTAGATCCTGCTCTGACATATGGCTGATTTCGTTTGATTCCAAAATATCAAGTCACATTTCAGTGAATCAAATTGATGGTTGTTGTGTGCCCTGCCCCACAGGAGGAGAGTGTTGTCTGGTGAGCCTGCCTCTGAGTGCCTGCCTGCTGAGCTGTGCATCGTGACCGACAAGGGCCGAAACAGCAAGGAGCAAGGTAACCTGGTGGTGAAGGAGGCAGTGGCGGCCATGATGGACAGCTGGGGGGCCCCTTTCAGGTAGACCCATGGATAAGTGGTTGCAGTGGCAAGAGCAACAACAGTGGCAGTGATCGTAAAGGATAATAATGTTACCAAACAGCAGCATGTTTGCACCACATTGTGGTCAAGGTGTCAACAACAGTGGCACTCGAACAACAGTGGTGATGAGTGATTGATGCCAAAGAATGAACTGGTGAAATGCTTTGCTTCTGTGTGGAAGAATTTGCTGTCGGGACAAGAGTTGCATAGATTGAAACCCCTGCAAATTACATGTTGATAAGTCGCCGCTCTGTGCAAATAAGAGAACAGTGTATTGTGGGTGTAGAACCCCTGGCTGCAACAAAATGTGAAAAGTTCAATGCTCAGAACGCTGAACAAGCAGCTGTGTTATGGCAAGCGCAATGCCGCACGACTCGCTGACTCTCGTCAGATGGCGATGGTGTTCAGCGGCTGCAGTTCCTTGCTCTGGTGCTGAGTCTATCCTCCAAGATCGATGCTTGACTTTGACTTGCAGTTCATTGGTGATTCATGATTGTATTGTTGATTGATCAGTGATGATTGTTGATTTGATGGCTGCTTGAGCGATGGTAGTTATTTATTTCCAATCATTCAGGTGAAGGATCGATTGTTGGACACCATTTGGATTGCTTTATTATGGTACGACTTCAGCTGATTTGAGGATTTGTGCTGCTGGAGCCAGGCCTGTGCAGGACACCATGTACTCTGGAGTCTTGGAGGTTTCTGGAAGCGACGTTAGAGATTGGCTGCTGTCGCCAGTCTTTGAGGAAAAGCTGTTCAGCTTCTTCCCGTGTGCAGATCTCCCGGCTGCTGTGGCAAACACGGTGTGTAGTTTCTTTGATGCCAAGTGGTGGATGCTATTCAACTGCAAGTATGTGAATACATTTTAGGAGGTAAAAGAATTGCTGGTAAATTTCTGAGTCGGGGAAAGAAGAAGCTGCTATTGATTCTGGCGATCAGAACACCAATGTTGCATCCAGTGGAGAACAATGGCCACAGGCACCATGTCCTTTTGGGAATGTGTTGATTGGTTGCGCCCAATTTCACAGGGATAAGGATGCCTGGTCTGGTTGTGTTGTTGTACTGTGCTGCATCAGTAGATTGTCCCATGATATTGTATTTCCACGTGACTGTGGAGTACTATGTTGTTGAGCAGTGTTGGATTGTCTTGATGCTGACAAATCGCACTGTTGCAGGCATGGAGCAATGAAAGGCAAGGCATGAATCTTCAAATTGAGTCTGTGGTCGATTAATCTGCCAACAACAATGCCTTGCTCAGAACTCTGTGTCCAATCGTACGTGCCCATTAATATGGCATAAAATCTAAATTAATTGCACTGCATTGCATTGTTTTGTTGTTCATTCACTGTGTGTTGAAGCTTGAGCATCCACAAGGCGGTCTTGGTGCCGGCGAAACTTGACACACGGAACTTTCAGATCAGTGGTAATTGGGTTTTGCCTCAACGACACGATGTTGCAGATGTGCCAAAGAGGGATGGCAGTGACTTTGCTAACTGGTTCTTGACTGGAAATGTATCAGAGCAGCTTGCAATAGTGTCCAACTTGATCTCAACCAGGTCCAAAGCAGCCCAATACAAGCTGGTTGCTTGCTTCAGCAGCACATTACTGTTGTTGCGCAGCACGCACAAGTAGCTCACCAGGCGAGGACATGGCTTCAGCAGTGCCCATTGGTGACTCACACAGCCAGCGTTCACTTAAAAGGGATTTGCAATGTCGTATGACCAGTTTGGGGTTCAGCGTTGCAGCACACAGACAGGTTAGCCATCTGGCAAGAAAACACCTTTGGGAAACGGCACAGCGATGATTAGATGCCTTCGATCAGTTGTCGAGCGTCACACTGCTGTCTGGCTGCTTTTCGTCCCTGACTCGGTTTGTCTCGCCTTGCAGTCATCTTGGGAGGACAGCCATGCCGTCAATGCCGCTTCCGCCCTGAGCGACCCCGACTTCACCAAGGAGAGCACCGTGGAGGCTCGTTGTGCAGAGGCATTCGCCGCCGTGCATGCCTTTGAGAGCACGCACTCCCTGGCCCTGCAAGCCATGGGCCTCACATATCTGCAACACCGCACCCGGCTTGTGGGCAGTGTCATCAGGTATGTGCACATCCCATCCACTTAACCTTTCAGAAGAGTTTGGTGCAGAAAGTGACGTATGGTACTAGGCGTTACACTGAGCCATGCTCCCAAAAGAGTGCTGGTTCCTACTTCCTCCATCTCAAATTAAAATGAAACAATTTGGAGAACACAATTTACAACATGATTCACGAGTCAAAAGTCAAAAAGAACGTCAATTCGAAAAGACTAGGTTCCAAAACCCCTAGTGTGACCTTGCTCGTGACCAAAACTACTCGTTCAGACCGTATTGCAAGCCATAATCTGGCGCCCATATGACATCAGTCGGCAGTTTGTCCCCCCCCCCCCCCTCGCCATGATTTCCGTCTGCCTGGCGTTCTTGCTGCCCTTGTAGGGAACACCAACGTCGTTGCCCCCTGCATGCTCAAGCATGCTTGCTTGGACGCTGAACAAGGCACGCCAAATGCCCTCGAGCATAGCAGGATCGTAGGATTCAAAAGCAACAATGTCAACGTCCAGAATTGCCATCAAGGGGCCCCCCTCTTTCGGCTCAACCACCCGCCGTTGGAGGCTATGAAACAACCCAAGATCTAAAATACTTAGATCTGGGCTTTGCGGCAGCTGAATCTGAATTTTCATATGGTAGCCATCCTTCAAGCATTCCGCTTGAAGCTCCTCTTGAACGTGGCTTGCAACGTGGGGCTTTGCCCCTGCCATTTGAATAACGATGCTCGTCTTGGCGAGGTAATATGCTGCCTGGATCGCCAGCAAAACCTTGGTTTTCATGATAGCAAGAAAGGCGTTCACATTCATGGGCTCCACAACTTGCTAGCCATGTGCCCGGTTTTTGACGATGTCTGGGCGCTTTTGGTGGTGACAAAGGGGCAGATGCCCGCGAGGCCATTATGCCATCACATCGCCGATGCGGACAGCCCACTGCACCAAGAAATATAATCTTGTGTATAAACATTTTGTTCTTAGCTATAGGAGCCCCTTGCTTCGCCTCACTTTGTAACAACCACGCCCGCCTGCCATCAATGAACGTAACACCACTTTGAATGTAAAACCACCTTTTGCCGATGTGCACTCAACTGATGCACGGTTCCAAAATGAAGCTCCAGCCCATCGGCTAGACTTGATTGACAACAAATCGCAGTCTCTGCAGCTTCTGCTCAGGGGTCAAGCTGGGCTTCATCCAAAGTGCACTCTTGGACGCATTATTTCGTCACAAAAAAGGGTGAAGGGTTGACTTGTTAGAGCCCATCAGCTCAGCGACGCGCCGAACAGATGTCTGCTGGAACTGTGCGATCGGCTTGACTGCTTTGGCAAACTCTTCAGAGGGTTTCCTCCTTTTGCCGCAGTGTCCTTTACGACTGCGGCTAAGATAGATGCCTTCTCCGTTGTCTATTCGTTCGCGGAGTTTCGCCATATGGTGCTCCGGCTAGTTGCAAATCTATTGGCGGCATTGCCAATCGATCCATAGGATGCTCGATCCTGGCCACCCTGCAGCCTCAGGATTGCCGTTCCAACTTTGAGTCTAAGGGGCATAGGCAGCTCTACTCTTCCGGTACCGTGCGGAGCGCAGGAAGGCGCCCCACTCCGGGACCCCATTTTCGGTGGGGACGGCGGCAGCATGAGAAAATTCGCGTTGCTGGAAATAGGGCAGTGGTTCAAAGTACTGCCATTTGTGCCACACTTATCCATTCTTCACAACAATTTGGCAGCGTGTACCAACGTGAGTTATAGTGCTCTAATCAAAATTTGAGGCAAAACTGACAAGTGTTGATGAAAATACGGCCATGCAAACAGATGTTTTCATTTAATTTGAGACAGAGGAAGTATTCGTGAGTTCCTAAGGAAGTCACTTCCTATGGGTATAGGCGATTGGGCTGTGGGTGTCAAAATTTTAAGGTACGATTCTTTTTCGGCCACAAGGCGATTTGGACAATAAGGAACCCATCAAGTGGACCCTTGTTGGATACCCTTTATCTTTAGGAAGGTGGATGTGTGGCTGATCCATAGTGTGTTGATCAGTTGTTGTTTAAAATGTATCTTCTGTTCAATAATAAAGGTCTTGTATCCACCAAAGAAGTGGCATTTGACCGTTTTTGTTGTTTTTACTGGAATTGAAAAATAGCTGGTTCTGAACAGAATTGGCCCCTGAGTAGTTTACAAGAAAGCACCCCATGCATTGCCATTGCTGTCATGGTGTGAGGGGCAGTGTGTGGTGGGAAGGATGGGGTGTCCTGTCTTCATTAAGAGAGGCTCCTGCAGTGGAAATGAATACAACAAAGGACTGCCATGTTTCAAATCTCACACCTACTCTGCCCCAAAGGTGTCTGGTGATGTCTGATGCTAACAATTCATGTGACCATGCTTTGTCATGCTCTATGCATGTACTGGCCACAACATTGCCTGCGTTTATTACATGTGCCTTCGTTCATTGCATTGTCATTCAAATACAGTGCATTTATTCATTCGTTCAGGTACACCCGCCAGCTTGGCCTGGGGGATGAGATAGCTCATGATGCCGTTCTGCTCATGGACCGAACGATGTCCACGGCGATTCAGATCAAGGACAACTTGTTGGAGCTGCTGTCGGTGGCATGCATGGTGCTGGCGATGAAGCAGGCCGATGCAATGGAGAGCATGCCAAGCAACGAGGACCTGGAGCTTGTGACAGGTGTGCTTTTGTGTGGTGTGTTGTTGTTGCTTTGCTAATTTGATTCCAAAATGCCAGAATGTTGTATCATTTTGTGAGTCGTTGAATCGGTTCGTGTAGAGCAGACCACGTAAAAGTGCCCTGCATCTAGTTCATGATGGCAGATCTCCAAATAGGTCCACCGGGTGTTGTGTGCATTGAAATGTATTCGAAATCCGCGAAGCAGGTCATAAATTTGAGCAACCACCCTAGCAGGATTGAGGCAGTCCCTTCCTCGGCTTTGCAATGACATAGGATCCACTGGCAAGAAGAGTGAATCCCAACAAGGAGCATGCTCAAAAGCAGCAGACATGTGCTCCAGGTCTGTCTGCATGGCTACAAGCTGTTCTATCAGCTCACATGGAGCATCAGCATGGCCAACTCGCGTGTGACCTGCCCGCACTAGCAGTAGTTGGTGCTGTTGTTGGTGCTGTTGTTGGTGCAGTATCTATTGAGATGAGGTATCTCCATAAGATTATGTTGATGACTGTGCCATGTTTATGAATTAGCCTGATGTTCGCAGATGTTCAACACAAGGGAATTGATGCCTCCATCAAGAGCAGCAGAGCACCGCCCTTGCATTATCAGAGCGAGCGTGCGTGCGTGCCCAGCCTTGCCCTTCTTCCTTTCTTTTGCATAGGCTTTTTCTTCTCCTTTCTTTCCTTTTCCTTCTTTTGTACATCCTGGAATGCTATTCCTGGCTCTTCTAGGGAATTCAACAGCACTCTCCCAATCCACCTTCAGCACTGCGGCATGGGCGATTCTGTCCACCAGGTTGTGCGCCCAAATTCTCAGCCCTTGTTGGTCACTTGGAAGACATTGTGCCAGTGTGTAAATCTTGGAACCCAAACATCCAAACTTTGAGAGCAGAACATACAAGTTTCTGGTGCCTGACGTGCACGGCTCCGATGTGCCCCGTTGCCAGACTGCAAGGCCTCTGCCGTCGCAAAGATGGAGTGGAACCTGAGGCAGGTGCTGGGAGGTGACACCGCCACGATCTCTACCCTGCGCTGCCTCAAGCTATACCTTGAGCGCCTGGGGACGAACTTTCTGGACCCACGGTCCTGTGCGCAAGTTGCTGGCAACGCCTGTGCACTGATAGAAGACTCCATGGTGGATGTGACCTTCCTAAACTGCAGGCCCTCTGTCGTGGCGGCAGCCATCATGTATGCAGAGAGGCGATCAAGGTGTGGGCATAATGATTGACGGATTGATTGGCTGGTTGGTTGACTGACCTTCTGTTGCAAGAGAGTAAGAGCGATGTGTGTTTGCTGCTGTTTGTTAAGACTGTATGGACAAATGCACTTGTCACCCCTCTGGCACGTGGAACGCAGCCAAAGAATTGCATGCCCAAGTTTGCTGGTCACCGCGGTGCCAACAATTCCCTTGCTGGAAGGCAAGAAACGAAATGGAAAATCCAATATCCCAGATGTGGTGTGTTCTTTTACCCACAACAAAGCCTTCCACTTTTCCTTCGTCCTTTCACAAACTGCTGCCTTCACACTGACGTTGACATATGCCGCCTATGTGGGCAATGGGTAAGAATCTCCAACTGGCACTTCATTAGCTTCTCTGTTAACCATCATTTCATCCAGTCTTGCTGGCATTTCTTTCTTTCCGGCACATGCTTTCATCAGAATTGTACTTCAATTGAGGATAGGCTTGCCTATGTTTGCATTGTTGCTTGAAGCTGCAAGGCTGGCACCTTGTCACTTCCTGGCACCACCACAAGGGGACTGATCCCTTGCAATCAGTTGTGTCAACCAGGTTTTGGTCAGCTGTGATCAGTGACAATGGCGACTTGCCCAGGGATGCATCCCCTTCAGACTTCATCTCAACGCCGCAAACGCCTTGCCAATACAGCAGCCTCCTTACTATTCTGTGGGTGCACTGACTGCCAGACAGCTGATTACTTCAATGTGTGAAATGTGTAGTTTCAGCAAAATCTGAACACTATCAGCAAAGGACCGCATCACTGATTGGTTGCTGCTCCCTGCCCAGGGGCATCATCCCCTTCTGGCCCTCCATGATGGCCAAGCTCACGGGATACCAGGACATGAGCTCCCCAGAGCTCACTGTGGCCATCCGCGGCGCCCAGAAGTTGTGCCAGAACCAGTCCAAGTGCTCCCCCGCCCCCGCCCAGTTCTCCTACCCCGCCAGCGCCCCCTTCACCCCCAACCAGCAGCCTGTGCCAACTCCCCCCGCCTCCCTGCAGCTGCCCCTGGCGGCCACTGCTGCCGACCTAGAAGAGTATCAGGTAGACCGCCAGTCCTCGCTGGCAGAACTTGGCTCGCCCATTGACGGTGGCATTGGCGCCTTCAGCGGCCCCATTAGCCCCTCTCTGGCTTCGCTGTCCTCCATCCAGAGCCTGCAGTCAGTGCGGGCTCTTTGCCTGCCCCCCATGCCCCCTGCTGGTTTGGGCTCGCTCAAGGGCGAGGACCAGGTGACCGCGGGCCATGTGAATGGGGTGCAGCAGCTGCCAAGTGGCGTGGTGCAGGGGTTGGCGCACGTTGTGGCGCAGAGATTGCCACACTGCACTGTTGGGCGCATGGGTCAGAGCGTGCTGGGCGGGCCGGCCTCGCCTGGCCTGGCCCCCCCTGGTGCCTTCCAGCAGATGGCCGCCTCACTTGGCCTGCCGTCCATGGACATCCCACACTTGGGCTGAGCAGCGGGGGCAGCGGGGGCAGCGGGGGCAGCGGGGGCAGCGGCGGCGATCTGCTGGCATTGCTCGAAAGGCGATGCTTGGCTGTGGGCAGCTGCCTCTTGGATGGAAGAGGTGGGTTGGGGCGAAGATGGGCGGTGGAAAGCATTTTCTGGTGGCGAAGGGCCCCGCTTGGAGCAGGATGCAGGGGGCACGAATTTTTGGCCATAATTGTTGGTTTTTTAGCTGGAGGCTAGGCTGCGGGGTGGAGTGGGTCTGCGTGGGGACAGGCCTGGTGATGCGACAGGGGGCGGGTGCTCGTATGTGGTGCGTCGAATTCGCTGGTCTGCCATGCCCTGGTGGGCTGCATGGGGCGGAGTGTGTGTTTTTGCCACTCGTAGTGTGCGCGGCCTGCACAGCGATTTTGGATTCGAGGACCATATGTTTTGGTGAAGTAATGATGCACTGGGGACAGACTGCTGGACCTGACAGGATGCCATTGCAAGCCATCCTGGGCGGCCCCCCTGCGGGCGGGGGCCACTTGTGTGTTTCGATTCGCTATTCTGAGAAGATTTGAGGCCAAGGGGAAAGAAATTAGCGGGACTCAGGCTGCCTGGCTGTGGCCACCAGTCCCGCAAACTGCAATACAGATGTTGTTCTGCTCTCCAAGGGGATTCAGGGGCCAAGTTGATGGGGTGGGCGGAATCCGCCTTTTCATCTTTACGCGCAAACTATCGAATGAAACTGAGTTCGCAGATGACGCGAACAAACTGTACACAAATTCGAATTTCTCCGCATTGTTCGAATTCACTTGCATTGAGGTGGACAGGCAGGTGGTGCCGCACACCCTAGCGGAGGGAGGGGCGTGGCGGTGGCTGTGGGGAGGTGCTGGTGGCTCTCGCGCCCATTTGAGATCGTGGCTAAATGAACGAATCTTAGCCGATGGAGGGTGCTGGGTATGTGATAAACAGTCTAAAGGCGAAACAGCCGTGTTGAGTGAACACCTCCCAAGCCTGCCTGGAAATCCCTACCCGTCGGTGGTGTCTCTGACGTTCCGCTGGCTGGGAATGGGGATATGGATTGAAGACCCGCGACAGGCGGCGGAAAGAAATGGAGCGCTTTGGTGAGTGCTTTAAATGGGCATTGAGATAGAGGGGGCCCGGTCTTGGGAGGCGGCGGCCCCCATTGGGTTAACACAAGGAACGGAAGAAGTTAGGAGAGGGGCGACGCGGAGGCTCTGCAGGGCGTGTCCCCTCTCTCTTTTCCTGCCATCCTTGCGCATTTTTTCCCGAGTCAGTAGCTCATCTGTTGCTAAACGGATGCTGTGGCTTCCCTGCCCTGTTGGCAGGGGAGGCTTTGTGTACCCGCAGTGGGCGGGCAACGATGGGGTGGGGTGCGTTTTGGGGAGGAAGCCGCTGGTGAAATTCTCAACTGCCCATCCCCTCGGCAATTGGACGATGAAGAATCAAAACGGATGCGAGGGATGGTTTATTTGTTGTGTTGGCTGTGGATATTCGGCGGGATTTTGCTGGAGTAGCCAGCCGGCCAATGTGCCGGCACGGTGTGGCGCCGGCAGCAAGGGCCCCGCGCCCGCGCTCGGCGCAAGCATGTGTCTGTTGACTGAGCAACGAATACCCCATGGAGATGGCTGGAGCCACAGGTAAATAACCATCAGACATATCACATGCTTGGGCACGCCATTTGGTGGTGCATTTTTTGGGACGACGGCTGCCATCAACGGTGCATTTCGAGGTGCGTGCTCCAACAGGCGCATGGAAATTTCGAGAGAAAACGCGGCGGCACAGAGGGTGCCTTGAGTGTTGGGGAGAGCGCTGAGATTCCGCTCGACCGCCACCGAGTTGGCTGTGGCCATCCGTTAGTATTCTACCATGACACGGGCGATTCAAACGCTGCTTATCGCGACAGTTGGCCATGTCGTGGTGACTAGTGTCGCCTTTTAAGGCAGTCCAAAGTAGCGCATTGAGATAATGATCGTCTCACAATTTCTGCGCGTTTTGAGCTGTTTAAAATCATCGATTTGTAGCTCTGATCCCGTTTTTAAATTGCTGAGAACCGCGCATCGTTGGCGTTTACTCTCTCAACACAGGCAATTTGCAGCTTTTGTGCAGCGTGCTTGCATGCTCCCTGTGTTGCGAAAAGTCTTGTCCGAATTCCAATTCGCATCAACAGAGGTCAGAACGTGCGAGTCAGAAGTCTGACAAACGCAACTTCGACGTACCGTAGTGAAAGCTATCCGTAGAGCCACCAAATGCTGCCTACAGCGTCGCTGCTCTCACCGTATGTCAAGAGGAGCTGTAAGAGGCGCTGCCCTTTGGCGGGATCTCGGACTGGGCATGGTGAGCTCGTTTTGACCTTTTATGGTGGATTGAGCTGATCTGTCACTGGGAAGGCATGCCCTAGCTGTTCAATACCCGCCAGAGTTCCGGCCTTATTCCCAGAGCATCCACCGTGAAAATCGATAGATCATTGCAAACAAATTTGGAAACGAGAAATTCGCAGAGGCTGTAGTCAAGGACCAGGAGCGAGCGCCGACCTAACGGACGCAGTATGGAAGGTGCGTGCTCCATGCGCTCCAAGCGTGCTGACACAACCAGAAAGACGGCCTGTCATTGAGGTCAACATGGCCAATCTTTGAAAATTGATGTGCGGGGGACAAGAGTCACCGCATAAAAGAGATTTATGCATCGGCCTCCGAATAAAAAGCGATTAAGGAGGGTGATTTCATAGCACATGGGAGGAAAATTTAAGCGCCAAAAAATGGGGTGAAAATTGCATTCATTAGAATTAGAATATGAGACTTTAACCATCAGGAAAACATGGCCCGGGCGTGGCTGCGCCTTGGTTGGGGCGTGCCGTTGCCACGGCACAAGTGTGACTAAACGATCCGTAGAGTACTAAAATAGACACGGAGAACCTTTTACAATGTGTTACCACGTACAAAGACTAACTACAATCGCCAAAATGTCATGTCTGTCCACCCTGGCGGCGTGGACAGTGTCCCATGATGAGCTGTCCGACTCAGGCTGCCTCTACGTCTACCCCGTGAACTGATTCCCGGCGCTCAAGAGACTGGTCTGCGTCCAGAGCTCGCACAGCACTGCGCAGTGCCCGTCGCAGTTGCACTCCCTGCTTGCGGTCAGACGTGATGTCCGACGATGGTGTGTGCGACGTATCGGAGTGCAGAGTGGTGGAAGACATCGCCCACGGAGTGGCTGCAGCGTGGCAATGTTTGACTCAAACGCTGGAGCTTGCGCTCCGTGGGCGACATGTGCCGCTTTTGGAAGGTGGGGTTGACCCCTCGAAGTTTCCTTCGGAGCTTCGGATCGTGAGCGGTTGATTCAGGAGCGCCACCACCCGCGCCAGGCATCCACGCACGAAGACACGATTCGCAAGATGAGCAGGACGAGGAGGGAAGCAGTTGGCAGCTGGCGTGGTTTTCGGTTCGGATGCGGGTGATGCGCACGCTGAGGCGCCCGATGAGGCGTGCCGGACCTCCTCCAAGGATCGCCTGTCGGCTTTGTCGGGGTGCCCATGTCTTCGGGTTTGCAGCGTGGGCCCATGCCACAAGGATGACCGGGCGTGGGGCGGCTGTCTGCACAGTGGGTGCGCGGTGGCGTGCGGGGCTGGGGGTGCAGCCGCTGGGTGATGCGAGCAGCCAAGAGCACGAGGTACAGTCTTTCAGGTGGCCTGTCACCTTTTTGGGCCGGCCACCGCCTTACTCACGTGACAATGCAATAGTTCGATCCTACGCTAGTATCTCATACCCCGATACGGTATGGCAGAGAGGGTCCAAAGTAGTAGAAACGTATCTTACCATAACTCCTCTGCCAGTAAGCCAATGGAAGTGGTTCAAAAGTCTAGGTGGTTCAATGAAGCCTATTATCATACTTCCCCCATCCGGAATTTAAATGAAAATAGTTTGCTTGACAAGACACATTTGTATCACGCACTTGCCCATTTCCCTTCAAAAATAAGGAAGAGCACCCTTCAGAGGCTCAGCAAGTGCTGCCATAATTTTATGGAGAACGGATAAGTACTGGCCACATGGCAGTACTTTAAACCCTTGTGACTCCAGCCACGAACTCGAATCTTCCCAATGTCTAGCCGCGCAGCCCCCCAAGCGGGGTCGCGCTCCCTGACTGATAGTGCACAGCGTAAAGTGGTTAGCTGCAGCCGTTGTCGTGGCTGCACGGTGGAGGCATTCCAACAAAACAGGAGAGACCGCATCACTGAGTTCTGCACAATTCGATCGTCGATCATGACGGTGGTTTTGACGGGCCAGCGAGGACTTCAGCATCGGATCAGAGACGCAGAAATCGCTTAACTTCACAATCACGGCATTTCCAGAAACAGCCGGTCCCATGGGCATGGTCGCCATAGGCGCTGACATCACCACGAAGAGTGTGGAAGAATATGATCGCCACCTCGCTGCGTGGCAGTCAAAAGATTGCTCGACCTGCCTGTGCTGTACAGAT